AATTAACTGAGACATTGAGTGTTGAGACACTGAGTATTAACTGAAACACTAACTGTTGAGACACTGACTATTAACTGAGACACTAACTGTTGAGGCACTGACTATTAACTGAAACACTAACTGTTGAGACACTGATTATTAACTGAGACACTAACTGTTGACCCTGATGAGACATTGACTGTTAACTGAAACATTAACTGTTGAGACACTGACTATTAAGTGAGACATTAATTGTTGACCCTGATGAGACATTGACTGTTAACTGAAACATTAACTGTTGAGACACTGACTATTAACTGAGACATTGACTGTTGAGGCATTAAATATTAACTGAGATATTAACTGTTGAACCTGATGAGACATTGACCATTAACTGAAACACTAACTGTTGAGACACTGACTATTAACTGAGACAATGACTGTTGAGACACTGACTATTAACTGAGACATTGACTGTTGAGACACTGACTATTAACTGAGTCACTAACTATTAAGACATTGAATATTAACTGAAACACTAACTGTTGAGACACTGACTATTAACTGAGTCACTAACTATAAAGACATTGAATATTAACTGAAACACTAACTGTTGAGACGCTGACTGGTAACTGAGACACTGACTATTAACTGAAACACTAACTGTTGAGACACTGACTGGTAACTGACACACTGACTATTAACTGAAACACTAACTGTTGAGACACTGACTGGTAACTGAGACACTGACTATTAACTGAACACTAACTGTTGAGACACTGACTGGTAACTGAGACATTGACTATTAACTGAAACACTAACTGTTGAGACACTGATTGGTAACTGAGACACTGACTATTAACTGAAACACTAACTGTTGAGACACTGACTGCAACTGAGACATTGAATATTAACTGAAACACTAACTGTTGAGACGCTGACTGGTAACTGAGACACTGACTATTAACTGAAACACTAACTGTTGAGACACTGACTGGTAACTGAGACATTGACTATTAACTGAAACACTAACTGTTGAGACACTGACTGGTAACTGAGACACTGACTATTAACTGAAACAGTAACTGTTGAGACACTGACTGGTAACTGAGACATTGACTATTAACTGAAACACTAACTGTTGAGACACTGACTATTAACTGAAACACTGACTATTAACTGAAACACTGACTATTAACTGAAACACTAACTATTGAGACACTAATTATTATATGAGACATTGACTGTTGAGACACTGACTATTAACTGAGACACTAACTGTTGAGACTGACTATTAACTGAGATATTGACTGTTGGCGACACTGAATATTAACTGAGTTACTGACTGTTGGCGACACTGACTATTAACTGAGACACTGACTATTAACTGAGACATTAACTGTTGAGACACTGAGTATTTGCTTAAACACTGACTGTTAACTGAAAAACTGACTGTTGAGATATTGACCATTAACTGAGATACTGACTGTTACGACAATGACTGTTGAAACTTCTACCATTAAACATTGACTTTTTACTGTAAATGAGATAATGAATTTTACGACTGTTTACGAGCGTAGCGGAGACACTGACTGTTGACTGACACTCATTGCTAACTGAGACATTCATTTTAACTGAGATCCTGACTATTGAGAAACAGACTATTGACTGAGACAATGACTGTTAACTGAGACACCGATTATTAACTACGCCGCTGAATTAACTGAGACACTGACTATTAAGTGAAACGCTGACTGTTAATTGAGACACTGACGGTTTACAGTTACAGTGATTATTAACTAAGAGACTAACTGTTCAGTGTGACATTTGACTTAACTGAGGCACTGGTAACAGCTGAGACACTGACTGTTAACTAAGATACCGACTATTAACTGAGCTACCGAAACTGAGAAACAGACTATTAACTGAGACACTGACAGTTGAGACATTGACTGTTAAAACACTGAGTGATGAGACTAATATTAACTGAGACACTGACATACTGACTGATGATTGAAACACTGACTGTTGACACGCTGATTATTAACTGAGACATTAATAGTTGAAACAATGACTGAGACACGTTACGCATTGACTGACTCTTTAACAACTGATTCATACAAAGACAATTTAACCACTGACTGACACGTTGGCTGACAGAATTACCACTGACTGACACATTAACTGACACAATAACTACTGACTGACACATCGACTGACAGAATTACCACTGACTGACACATTAACTGACACAATAACTACTGACTGCCACATTGACTGACAGAATTACCACTGACTGACACAATAACTATTGGCTGACAGAATTACCACTAACTGACACACTGACTGACAGAATTACCACTGACTGACACTTTAACTGACACAATAAACTACTGACTGACACAATAACCACTGACTGACACTTTAACTGACAGAATTACCACTGACTGACTTATTAACCGACAGAATAACCACTGACTGACATTAACTGAGACAATAACCACTGACTGACACATTGACTGACAGAATTACCACTGACTGACACTTTAACTGACACAGTAACCATTGACTGACTTATTAACCGACACAATAACCACTGACTGATTCATTAACTGACGCAATAACCACTGACTGACACTTTAACTGCCAGAATTACCACTGACTGATTTATTAACCGACAGAATTACCACTGACTGACGCGTTAACTAACACAATAACCACTGACTGACTCATTAACTGACACAATAACCACTGACTGACACATTAACTGACACAATAACCAGTGACTGACACATTAACTGACAGAATTACCAGTGATTGACTCATTAACTGACACAATAACCACTGACTGACACATTCACCATTGACTGACATTAACTGACAGAATTACCACTGACTGACACATTAACTGACACAACCACGAACACTTAACCGACACAATAACCACCGATTGACACTTTACAAGAACCACTGACTGACACAATAACCACTGACTGATTCATTAACTGACGCAATAACCACTGACTGACACTTTAACTGCCAGAATTACCACTGACTGATTTATTAACCGACAGAATTACCACTGACTGACGCGTTAACTAACACAATAACCACTGACTGACTCATTAACTGACACAATAACCACTGACTGACACATTAACTGACACAATAACCAGTGACTGACACATTAACTGACAGAATTACCAGTGATTGACTCATTAACTGACACAATAACCACTGACTGACACATTCACCATTGACTGACATTAACTGACAGAATTACCACTGACTGACACATTAACTGACACAATAACCACTGACTGACACTTTAATTGACACAATAACCACTGATTGACTCATTAACTGACACAAGAACCACTGACTGACACATTCACCATTGACTGACATTAACTGACAGAATTACCACTGACTGACACATTAACTGACACAATAACCATTGACTGATACATTAACTGACACAATAGCCGCTGACTGACATTTTACGGACTAACACATTAACTAGTGATTCAGTTTAATAGAGATGGCTGACAGTTATATGATGACTGGTAATTAAACATTATGGCAGGTTAGATTAGATTAGGTTAGGCTAGGTTAGGTTAGGCTAGGCTAGGTTAGGTTAGGTTAAACTAAGTTAAGTTTGGTTAGGTTAGGATGCGAAAAGTGTTGCCCAGTGTGACTACAAAACATAGCAGGTTTTCTCCGGGTGTTTCAGTGTCAACTTGTACTAACACTGAACCCATGAAATACAAACTCAACGTGAACAACAAGAAAATTAAAACTCACAGCTTCCTTCTTTTCCAAAGCAAAAAAGTAAACAAAAAACACAAATTTCCCTCATTCTTAGCACTCTACGCGTCTCTCTCATCACCAACACACACACACACACACACACACACATACGGAAAGTTATCTGTTATGTAATTTATCAAATCCACTGACAATGACGTTCTTAATCTAAACTGAACTGCAATCTATACTGAATTCTTATACACCTGTAGCTCTATACCTGACTGACAGTGACCAAGTATACAATAGATTCTTATAGAGAGGCAGCAACTGATTGAGTTTATCCTTACATTAAGAATCATATGAATCTTTAACATAAAAACACCAAGAATCATAAGAATATTACATACCAACAAAACTTATTACACAAAAACAATTTAAAAAATCAGTAAAATATTAAAAAAATCATGTTAATATTTTACCCTAAATAACCTTAACACTTGTAAACGTTAATATTGACCAACGACCTTTTTTAACCCATACGTTCACCAAGCTAAGGATTATTTTGTTTGGGATTAATGAACATCTTTCAAGTAGTTTAATATTAGTGGTGTTAGGTGAGTGTTGAGTGACTCGTCCATTAACACACGGAGCAGGTTACGAAAAGGGATCACTAATTCTCAATGACCATAGCAGAACTTGAAGATTAAACTCCTTTACTTTATTCTCACTTACGTGTAAATACCAACAACTCTTCACTCCTTCCTTCCCATTTACCAACTCAGACAAGGATGAAGGAATCTTTAGAATGAAAAACATCTTTGCTACCTAAGGAATAATTAGTGAGAATTTAGTTATTACTCTCTATACGGGTAGCTAAATAACGTGTGCGATGGTTAAAGATCACCACAATATACCTTCCCAGTTTGAGGGTCAAAATACAGACTAGTAACACACGCTGGATATTATCTCACTGAAAAGCGTAAACACACACGCCTACATTTCTAGATAAACAGTAATATTAGATTCATAAAAGGCGGAGTTAATGTTGGTTTAAATTAATAATATCTTCGAGTACAATCTTTGAAATGCCACCAGACACTCTGTTGTGATATCATACCAAGACTAAAACATTCGTCAAGGTGATAACATTACACCACCATACCAGTACTGTACTCTATTCCTAACTCTGGTTCTCCTTCTCTTCCTAAACTACCCGCCCCTCTCTCCCTCCATGCTGCCTCTTACTCTCCCCGACTGACCGACTGTGACGCACGACCGACTGGCGGGGTCTTACAGGCAACATCCTTCTGTGGTCGCTCACCAACGTCGACAACGAGACCCAGTACGAATTGCACATCGAGCTGGAGGACTGGTCCGGCAACAAGCGCTTTGCTCGCTACCGGGGATTCCGCGTCGGCTCCGAGAGGGACGCCTACCGCCTCTACCACGCCAATGTTTACTTCGGCAACGCAGGTGAGACAACACTACCCAGCCAACGTTTACTTCATCGCAGGTCAAGCGACATTACCAAGTCAACGTTTACTTCAACGCAGGTAAGGCATCATTACCACGTCAACGTTTTTTTCAACGCAGGTGAGGCAACACTCGACGTATTTCGTAGTATGGAACTGTACTAAGGTGAAGCAATAGGACTTATAAGATCAGTAGTAAGAATTGTGGAAAGACAATTTTGGAGTTTAAACATTATTTTATTCTTGCATAACTTGAACGGGTGAGGAACGGGACTCATAGGCATGGCGAGCCGTTATGGACAGTGTAGGTACAGTACATACACTCTTTACTGAGCCTCTAGGGGGGCTGGGAAGGCAACCATTTTGACTTAGCCTAACGGTAATACACTAACTAGAGAAACGAGTTTGAATAAATAAATGGTAATCCACTCTACAGACTGAACTATTTGCCATACTCACAGCCCCAAAACTCGCTTAAGTCACCGTCAACTCATACTTGTCTCTAAAGCCAGACACAAATAAGTGAGCCATTTTGACGAGGGTGTCAGAATCAAGCTGTTGGTATCCCCTCACATAAGCTTCAGTGACTATGAGAAAATAGAACCTTTTAGGGACAGGTCCAAGCTTACTGTGTGTGTGTGTGTGTGTGTGTGTAAGTATTATGGCATAGAATTTCATCTCTGTTGGTAAGATAGATCATATATTAACACTGTATACAAATTCATCTAGTGTTCATTTAGTAGACAAGAATGTGATGTATGGAGTACACAATAAACTAGCCTCTCACCACCACTTACTACAACCATCACTCATCACCACAACCACCACTACTCATCATCACCACCATTACCTCTTACCACCAACTACCACCACAGGGGACTCGCTCTACTCCCACAATGGGCTGCCGTTCTCCACCTTCGACGTCGACAATGACAACCGCGATGGAGACTTCGTAGAGAGAAGCTGTGCGAGGCTGTACAAGGTGAGTGTGAAGAACCTTAACTAACTTACTGTATCTTGTACTTATGTGTTTCTTTATAGATGTTGATATTCATAATGTCTCACTTAACCCTTTGAGTGTTACACAGTAATCCTTTCAATACGATGACTTTACCCTTTAAATACGATGACTTTACCCTTTAAATACGATGACTTAACCCTTTCAACACGATGACTTAACCCTTTAAATACGATGACTTAACCCCTTCAATGTCAAGGCTTAACCCTTTAAATACGATAACTTAATCCTTTCATTGCGATGACTTAACCCTTCCATTTCGATGACTTAACCCCTTCAATGTGATGACTTTTAATCCTTTCAGTACAATGACTTAACACCTTCAATATAACGTATTAACCCTTTCAATAAGATTAATTAATTCCTTCATTGCATCTGCTAGATCACCATAACCTTTAACCTAACCTAACCCATAACAGGGGGCGTGGTGGTACGGTAACTGCCACGATGCAAACCTCAACGGCTGGTACTTGGGAGGTCCACACCGGTCCTTCGCTGATGGTGTTAACTGGTACACATGGACCGGGTACAGCTACTCTCTTAAACGTACCGTCATGAAGTTCAGGTGAGAATTATCCTAACTGGTTCAAGAAATATAAGAGGGTAGGGCAGGGTAGGGTAGGGTAGGGGTCAACGTTAGGTTAGGTGTGTAACTTTCCTCCCAAATTTCCCCAAGTACACTGTTACGGTCGCACGGTTACACACATATCCCGTCCTGTACTACTAAGCTGCTTCTTCCCACAGGCCTCAGAGCAGCGGCCCCATACCAATAGGCTTTGACACCTTCATCATTGCTAATCGTCGACGGAATTTGGATCTTGACAAAATAAATCTCCAAGAGTCTACACAGGTGAGAGAGAGAGAGAGAGAGAGAGAGAGAGAGAGAGAGAGAGAGAGAGAGAGAGAGAGAGAGAGAGAGAGAGAGAGAGAGAGAGAGAGAGAGAGAGCAATTCTTTTCTAACCCAAGATAATTTTTTTGCTAATGTAATTGAAGGATATAATAATAATAATAATAATAATAATAATAATAATAATAATAATAATAATAATAATAATAATAATAATAATAATAATAATGTGAAAAGGTATACTTAATGAATATATTGTATGTCTGTATGTGTGCATTGACTGTCAACTGTTAGGTGGGATAAAAGTATATATAATGATAATATTGCATATTTGTGTTAGTATTGAGGTTGTATGTTGATTAGCAGGTGGTGGTGTACATCTGCTTGTTAGTACTGATGGGGTGTGTTATCCAGCAGGGAGCAGAAGTAGAAGCAGAAAACGACAAGCAGCGGGACGGCCGTGAAGATGTACCGGAGATGCTATCCTCACGCAATACATTGTCTGCACCTGACTTCCACGAGTTGTGATGACCTGTAGTGACCTGTGGTGAGCTGTGATGACCTGTAGTGACGTGTGGTGACCTGTGATGACCTGTGAGGATGTGGTGACTTGTGAAAACCTGTCTATACCCGACAATGATCTGATGATGACCTGTATATGCCCGACAATGACCTGTTGATGACCTTTTTATACCCGACAAGAACCTGATAAGACCCTGCCCTAATATAGCATCTCTTCCTGACTATACTGACGGCGAGGTCACAGCAGGAGTCATCAATAAGGTCAAATAAGGTCATGGTAAAGTGAACAACGAACTTGACTCGACAAGACCTAAAAATGATACACGCTTTAGTTAGTAGGTAACGGAGTGACGACTGTTGAATAGGTAGAACAATGGGTCAAAATGGGTCAGAATGGGTCACTCCAATACCTCATGGGCTCATAAATGTGTTGATAGTATATTGTGATGATAATGAAGTGAGGTGAGTGTATGGTGATGATTATACATACATAGATAGAGGCACATGTACACTTATAGATACACCCACACGTTCACAGACACAATCACACGTACACAACACAATTAACACGATAAATATACACTCATACAAGCACATACACATACATATATACAGTCACAAACACAAACACCAACACCCACTCTTGAGTATACTTATTGCCACTAACCCCCCTCCCTCCACATACCTTCCCTACGTCAACACCCCCTCCCCACCACCCTCCACATACCTCCCTACGTCAACACCCTCCTCCACATACCCACCTTACGTCAACACTCCTCCTCCCCCTCACTATCATATGTAACGCATTTACTAAATATAAATTAAGATCTATTAATTTTTTTACAGAATGTTATTTATTTTATTTATTAAATTATTGATCTTAAAAGTGTTTAATTTTCTGTTCCTGTGTGTGTGTGTGTGTGTGTGTGTGTGTGTGTGTGTGTGTGTATTTGCGTGTACAGTATGTGATTGATTGTAAAATAATAATAGTGATAATAGAAATAATAATAATAATAATAATAATAATAATAAACGAAGAGAGAATAAGAGGACAGATAGATGATTATTTCTTTATTTACTAAATCATGGATGACATCATACTATCACATCTCACAGGCGTATACTGAAATAACGAGCTCTGATTGGCTCTCGCTCCTTATGACGTCACCAGTATCCTTTTGTCTTTCAGTTTTGACAACAATTAAAATTTATGTTGTACTTAAAGTTTTATTGTTATTTCAGGCTTAGTTTAACGTCTAATCAGCAGTAGTTAGGATATGGTTAACTGGTATATAATAAGTGTGAGACTGAACTAGAGCGAGTGACACTAGCTGACGTCATAAAGGCCAAGAGCCAATCAGTGCACGTCATGCTCTCGTACGCGTGGATTCTGCACAAAACTGGAATAAATATAAATGTATGGAAGTGTACATAAACATATCACTTATACGATAATGCCAAGATCAACATGGGTTAGGTTAGGTTAGGTTGAATTCGAGGCCTAAACGAGAGACAGTCATGGACAATCACTCGGTAACATCAGTAGTTGTGACTCGTGAGAATTAATAAATAACTAATGTATTAATATTCACAGACGTTAAAACAAAACTTGAAAATATACAGAATATAATATATGAGTCATAAAGTAGGAGATAATAAGATCAACCGAAGACGAGACACCCTGACGCTACTTAACCTTAACCTAACCTAACCAAGGCAGAATTAGGGTGGTGAATCTTCAGGTGAAATAAGTGAGAGGGGTTAATCTTCAGGTGAAATAAGCTAGAGGGGTTAATCTTCAGGTGAAATAAGTGAGAGGGGCTAATCTTCAGGTGAAATAAGTGAGAGGGGTTAATCTTCAGGTGAAATAAGCAGGAGGGGTTAATCTTCAGGTGAAATAAGTGAGAGGGGTTAATCTTCAGGTGAAATAAGTGAGAGGGGTTAATCTTCAGGTGAAATAAGCGGGAGGGGTTAATCTTCAGGTGAAATAAGCAGAGGAGTTAATCTTCCAGGTGAAATAAGCGAGGTTATCTTCAAGGTGAAATAAGCGAGAGGGGTTAATCTTCAGGTAAAATAAGCGAGGGGTTAATCTTCGGAATTGAAATAAGCGGGGTTAATCTTCAGGTGTGAAATAAGCGGGGGGTTAATCTTCAGGTGAAATAAGCGGGGTTAATCTTCAGAGTGTAAGTATGAGAGGGTTAATCTTCAGGTGAAATAAGTGAGAGGGTTAATCTTCAGGTGAAATAAGTGAGAGGGTTAATCTTCAGGTGAAATAAGCGAGGGTTAATCTTCAGGTAAAATAAGTGAGAGGTTAATCTTCAGGTGAAATAAGCGAGAGGTTAATCTTCAGGTGAAATAAGTGAGAGGTTAATCTTCAAATGCAAAAATAAGTGAGGTTAATCTTCAGGTGAAATAAGCGAGAGGGTTAATCTTCAGGGAATAAGCGAGAGGGTTAATCTTCAGGTGAAATAAGCGAGAGGAGGTTAATCTTCAAGGTGGGGAAATAAGTGAGAGGGGTTAATCTTCAGGTGAAATAAGTGAGAGGGGGTGAAATAAGCGAGAGGGTTAATCTTCAGGTGAAATAAGCGAGAGGGTTAATCTTCAGGTGAAATAAGTGAGGGGTTTAATCTTCAGGTGAAATAAGTGAGAGGGTTAATCTTCAGGTGAAATAAGCAGGAGGGGTTAATCTTCAGGTGAAATAAGTGAGAGGGTTAATCTTCAGGTGAAATAAGCGAGAGGGGTTAATCTTCAGGTGAAATAAGCGAGAGGGATTAATCTTCAGGTGAAATAAGTGAGAGGGGTTAATCTTCAGGTGAAATAAGCGAGAGGGGTTAATCTTCAGGTGAAATAAGTGAGAGGGGTTAATCTTCAGGTGAAATAAGCGAGAGGGGTTAATCTTCAGGTGAAATAAGTGAGAAGGGTGAATCTTCAGGTGAAATAAGCGAGAGGGGTTAATCTTCAGGTGAAATAAGCGAGAGGGGTTAATCTTCAGGTGAAATAAGCGAGAGGGGTTAATCTTCAGGTGAAATAAGCGAGAGGGGTTAATCTTCAGGTGATTGTAGAATAAATTAACCTAAAAAAAATCATTGCCTGTTGGGGGAGACTTTCCCTACTGAATGGCTAGGTGACTAAAACTAGTTACTGTTGATGGTAAGTGTATCAGAGCCAAGACCATTTCCTGGGCTCAGCCGAGTGTTACATCATCCCACAGCAAGACACAACTCACCATCATGTTTAGAGTCTATCACATCTCTCGTTATCTACCGTGATAGGATGTGTTGTGGGTTTAGATGCTGGGTACAGTATATCTCTCGTGTCGTAATAATTTCAGTTATATGAAGCTGTATTTCAATGTAGTTTTCGTTACATTCATCATACCTGCCAGTTATCTGTTGCTGTAGTTTTTACATTTCTGCTCACATAATGATAAGGTTTAGAGAACTCAGGTGTTTTACATGTGAACGAGGTAAAAAAAATGGGAGATATCCGAGTTGATTACAGAACAACTCAAAGCGATACGGTAAACTCCCATCTGTCATGACACACTGTGGAAGACAAAGTTTTAGCTCTGGTATATAGTGAAGACAATAATCACTGTGGAATATATTCTCTCAATCGTCTTTCTTTGTGTCTTCATCTTTATCTTCACTTTCTGTTGTTGATCGTTCTTCTTTAAGGGGAGTTTTTTGTAAGAGCGCTTTGAACAGAACGCGCAAGATGAGTACAGTCCATAGTTGGTTCACTATCAGGAGGGCGGTCAATAGTGTGAAGAACAAGTAAGCAGATGGCATCATCATGTAGGTGGTGGACTCAAAGAACACCCTGGGCATCACCCAAAACGGATATATGCCACAACGAGTTACGAGCCACAACACCAAGAACACAGCGAACAGCACATTGGAGACTTTTTCCCAACCTGAGTACTTAAACATTTTGGCGATTAGCAGCGGGATGTCAGCACACTCGTGTACCAGCAGCACAACTGTACCTATACGTGTGAAGTGACAGATCCAAGAAAAAGTCAGGAGCATAACCGTACACAAGTGATGGAAAATAATCTTATATCTGCCGTCCACCTTCCTGCGAGGCTGCACGATTTCTGAGATGGTGACAGCCCAGAAGGAGGCGAGAATGACCATGTAGTACCACCAGACCTCGACGTCCAAGTTATGGTAGGGGTAGTTCTGCCAGCACAAGGTGATGTTCCACACCCAGGGTTTGTTGTACATTAAGATCCATCCACTGATGCAGAAGGCACTGTGCATAATGGCAGTTACGCCGTTGTTCACGAACATGTCATGTTTATTTATGCGCGTAGCTTTATGTCGAGCCCGTAGCCATCTCTCTGCCTGGCGAACCGACAAGTTGGATGTACGTGACGCCTTCATAAGTACCGCCTCGGGAGCTATGCTGCCATGCTGGAGAAAGACAACCTCGAGGGCTGTGTTGGGCGGCGGTGGCGGCGGCCGCCAGTTGCTGATGCCAGCAGCCCGAGCCAGAGGGGACAGCACCAGCGGCTCTAGTATGAGGTGTTGAATAAGCACAAAGATGATGCTGAACAGCAGCGGGTAAGTCCAGACATCGCTGAACTCCGCTAACTGGAGGTCACCGGTGCTCTGCAGGTCTTCCCACCTGAGTCCAAACGGCAGCCAAAAGTCTGGTCGCCAGAAAGCGTCGCTCACTTGTCGTATATACTCCCCCATCTGCGGAAACCAACACAAACATCAAGGAAAAGCTACTGATCTTGTGGTCAACTAACATGAGGGCGACATCGATCCCTGGTGGTGGTGCTGCCCTCACTAGGTTCCACAGACTGCCACCAGTCCCTTATTTGTTCTCTTAAACAGGTGTAACATGTGACGCATCATGAAGCTTCTTCCTACAGCATAGAAAATAGATTTTAAGAACATTACATATCCTTGCCACAATCTTATTTCTGTTGGGAACCAGTCTGTCTCTTTCTGATAAACTCTAACACATTCTACGGTCTATACAATAATCTTCCTTTTTGTTTCATTTTCTAACTTTATATAAACTTTTTCTCAACTCTCAATCTTTTTGTCTTTTGCATTCTATTATTATTTTTCTTTACCCTTCTGGGGTGTAAGTTTAGTTAGGTGTAATGCTGGTGTAGTGAGGTGTAATAAGGTGTAGGGAGATGTAGTAAAGTGTAGGGAGGTGTATTAAGGTGTAGGGAGGTGTATTTGAGGTGTAGGTTTAGTGAGGTGTAGTGAAGGTGTAGCGAAAGTGTAACGAGGTGGAGTGTAAGTTTAGTGAAGGTATAGTGACTCACCATAGTGTTATTGGTGAAGTACTGGGTCATGGTGGCTCTCACAAACACGTCAATTTAACTCTTGATAATCGACATATTGCCAAGATCAACATTCTCAATTATTCCTTCACGGTTCACATGTGGTGTTGATGAGTACCGATGATTTCCTTGTAGACGATGTGAAGGTGTGAGGGCGAGACACAGGGTGGGTATAGCGGGTGTTATGTTATCCTTAACTAGTGTACACGCAGACTGGCCGCTTCTCCACACAGGCCACTATGCCATAGATAACGTATCTCTTATTTGATTGACAAATATGGTGAGACGTGTCCTTCAAGTATCCAATCTTTTATATATATTGGTGGAGTATAACTTTATCAAGCAGCTATATCTGTCGGACATATGGTAATAAACGGATGGCGTCAGGGATTCTTGTTGACCACTTCACAGATCCTCTCTTCTTTTCCGCATTTAATCTCACTGCTTAATGAATGCTCGTTGATAGTGCCTTGTCCAGTGTGTGGAGGCAACATGAGTGTTCTATCATGCTTTTTCTCCACACAAACATCTGATGCGGTTAACTTTGGACGAGCAGTATTTCGCTCTTTTCTTTCTTGTTTATCAAAAGCGATGTGTTGTCCTGCATATTGTCGAGTACGTGCTGATGGACCACACACACCACTGAACTTTGGTGGCTTTGAGGTTACCTAGTTCGAGTAAAGGTTTGGAAACAGGAACAGGTACAGCCAGCAAGGTCCAGCGGAGACGAAAATGGGTGATATCTTCAGATGTTTTCATATACTGGTTGAAGTTTGGTAGTTACTCGACATTTCATATTCTTGTGGACTCTTAAATGTTACCTCCCTCACCTTACACCATACCGAATATAATTGGATAAACAAAAACATACGTATATATAAAAACAAAAATATCCTTTTTATTTGTCCTGTGTAGTTGTTATGTTATATCCATATCAACAGATATGGTCTTTAAATTACAGCATAAGGTTTGTTTGAATACTGGGGTAGATGTATATTATTGTATTAAAAGTTTTTGTTTTTAATTCGCAATGTTTTAAGCATGTATTCTAGGTTAAAAAATACACTTATCATTAATAATAAAATAAGAGAGATAAGTCATTGTTTAGTTGTTGAAGACAGCTACAGAGAAATAATAATAATAATTATAATAACAATAAAAATGATAACAATGATAAAAATAGCAATAATATTAGTATCAATTATGGTATTCACAATAAGTGAAAATAATAATAGTAATAATGATAATACTCTCCATGATAATAATAATATCCTGTACCCGTAGTAAAATTAACAACAACAGGCGATCATCTAAATCAAATAGTTGTAAAAGACGTGTTGGATAACCAAGTGAGACAGAGAGAAGCTGTATTGCCACAACATGGTTACACAATATAAATTAATGCCCATATTTACAGAAGAGTGCAAAGTAAAATCCTTAATGCCAGTGTATTGACTCATTTTCATGGATTAAATAGTAAAAAAAAAATTAGGTCCTGATAGGTTAGTTGTTTATCACATTCACTAAATACTGTATATAGCTTCAGTCCGCCTTGGTGTCTGAGTCGTCGGAGGCAGAGCGTACGTCCTGCAAACCCCCGCCTGTGATCTTCCTTGCCACCGTCCTCATCACCATCCCCGTCCATATCATATTCAGCATCACAAGAGCAACCATCCATCCTTTTAATATATATGAAACTGGATATCCTGTCAACCAGGTGGGTTCGAAGAACACAGAGCGAACGATCCAGAAGGGCAGCACACAGCAGCGAGTGAGGAACCACAGCACCACGAATACGATAAACAGCGGCTCACACGCCTTCTCCAAGCCCGAGTACTTACACACTTTGGCCGCCAACAAAGCAATGTCTGCATACTCAAGGACGAATATAACAAGAATACCTATTCTAAACAAGCCACAGGTCCAGGAGAATACAACAAGAGCAATGGTTAAGGTGTGGTGAAGGATCATCATAGCTTTGGTTGAGTCATTAACTCCGGCCTGAGGAAGCTCCACTATGGTAATGGCCCAGTAGTAGCCCAAGATGATCATGTAGTACCAGAAGATGCCAGGGGTGGCCTCGTGGTTTGGGAAGCCCTGCCAGCAGAGTGTAGTATCCCACAGCCACGGTTTAGGCAGCGTGATGATCGCCCCTAACGCAGCGAATATGATGTGACATACCAGCTTAAATCCGCAGTCCAAGAACTTATCGTATTTGGTGAGGCAGACGAGGGAGTGACGGCGACGGAGCCACCGCTCTGCCTGTCGCTGTGTCATACCTGTCAATCTACACGCCTCTCTCAACATCCCCTTGGGCACCTTCATCTGATACTGCTGATATATCAGCTCTAAGATTTGGTTGGATACTGGAAGCGCAACCCGTTTTTTGTTTATCCTTGCGGCTCTCGCCAGAGGCACCAGCAGGAGTGGCTCGAGGCAGCAATAACGGAAGAATAAAATGACAACACTGAGAAGCATTGGGTAGATCAACACGTCGTAGACTGAAGTGTGGATGTCCTGCCATACGATTCCTTCAGGCAACCAGAAGTCTGCCCGCCAAAAGGTGGCCTGCGCACTCCTCCACCAGTCTCCTGCCTGGAATAATCACAACACTGATAAAGAAACCCTTACAAGCAAGGAACAATTAAATCCTGAGGCTAATTTATGATGACAATTATAGTCATATTTTAGTAACACAGCAAACTGTACAACAGAGATATGTTATATTTACAACAGAGTAGAAAACAAGCAATATCATAATGTGGGAGTTTGTTTTACTGGCATTCAACAAGTGAGGTTTATGATGGTTAGGACAAAGTTAGGGACAGGTCGGGGTATTTGGTGACAACAACAGATGACGGCTGCTAACGGGAGAACAAGTGTGCCGAGGTCGTCGTTGACATAATATTCTTGAGTGTGAAGGCCTTGGGTTTACTCGATGGTGGAGAGGTGTTGTGGGTTCACTCTCTTGGACAAATTGCTCCCCCGTGACGTTGAGCCATACCAGAGTTTATCTTGAATTGAGCAGTTAAGGTTGTTTGGAGTTGTTCAAGTGGCGGGTGGTGGGTGTCCTTAGGTCAAAGAGTGACTTACTGACGGTTTCATGTACAACACCTCCTTGTGTTGGAGGCATGTGGCTCTGGCTTACAATACAAGCACCTTGAGGCGTCTTGCTGCTGTTGCGTGAGTCCGCCACACTGTGATGATGTGACTGATGAAGAATGTTTGATATGCCTGGCACTTGGGAGGAAACACTGTTCATATATGGTCAGGAAAGGAATGCTGGAAGTTACATTCATCCGCAGGTGTTGCAGGGTCTTGGCGTCTTGCCTTTGTTGATATAGTAACTTCTCTGCTACAGAAAAATACCACAGCTCCTAGTCTTGTATAGCTCAGTGCCTCAGGTGATACAATACCAGCCACGCATACCAGGGCAATGTTCTCAGCGCTGTTGACCTGTATCTCGTTGGCCTCAGTCTCACAGTGTGCAATAATCAGAAGAGCGGAAAGTGAGCCTGACTGTATATCCATGTTATTGTTCTTTGAGATGCTAGTGAACAGTTTTACCTGACTGGTTATTAACAGTTCTTCATTATATATAGTTGATGAATGACCCAACACACGAAACGTCATCTGATGTTCCCTTGACCAAATACCAACTTCTTTATAATGTGACAATGACCTAAGTTGGGGAGATAGAGAAGGGGTTGGAGGACACAAGGGAAGGGGGATGACAGCCTATGGAGAAGAGCGTTTTGCCATAGACATACTTATACCTACACTAATGCTTGACAGGTGTGGTGTGTGTGTGTGTGTGCTGCTATCATTACCTGGTGCTATCATTACCTGGTGCTATCATTACCTGGTGCTATCATTACCTTCTACTAACATTACCTGGTGCTATCATTACCTGCTGCTATCATTACCTGTTGCTATCATTGCCTGGTGCTATCATTGCCTGGTGCTATCATTGCCTGGTGCTATCATTACCTGGTGCTATCATTGCCTGGTGCTATCATTACCTGGTGCTATCATTGCCTGGTGCTATCATTGCCTGGTGCTATCATTACCTGGTGCTATCATTACCTGATGCTATCATTACCTGGTGCTTTCATTACCTGGTGCTATCATTACCTGCTACTAACATTACCTGCTGCTATCATTACCTGCTGCTATCATTATCTGTTACTAACATTACCTGGTGCTATCATTACCTGGTGCTATCATTATCTACTGTTTTCGTTATCTCCTGTCACCGTTATCATCTCCTCTTTTCGTAATAAATACCCAAAATATATCCGACCCAGCACACATTCCACACCTACACACAGAAGCGTTCTACACACCTACAAACAGTCACTTGGGTAGAGGTGGATACACTAACTACACTAATGTATAAATACACTAAAGCATAACCCATAGCCTTAATTCAAGACCTAACCTAACCTCATGACCACTTACCATAGATATAGCATTGACAGTAGAGGCAGATAACTGTATATATCTTCCCTAGACGGTGTTTCAAATCAACCTCTCGAGTGTTCCTTGTTACCGGTTATTCTCTCTCTCTCTCCTGTTATAGTCTACGGCATTGATCACGAGTCTTTGTATCTTGTGCAACTGTGACTATTATCATCAGCTGATATTACGTCACAAGTCAGCTGATTGATAAGCTACGGTAGTGTTGCATATATATTTTTTTCCATGGACTATATCGGTTTTTTATCAAGGGAAGTTTTCGTAAATTTATGTTGAATCAATATAAACTCGAATGGTGATTTTTTTTTACTATATATCTCTCTATGTGTGGATGGGGATGAGTGTGTATGTGTGGATGGGGATGAGTGTGTATGTGTGGATGGGGATGAGTGTGTGTGTGTGGATGGGGAAGAGTGTGGATGTGTGGATGGGGATGAGTGTGTATGTGTGGATGGGGATGAGTGTGTATGTGTGGATGGGGATGAGTGTGTATGTGTGGATGGGGATGAGTGTGTGTATGTATGTGAGGGATGAGTCAGAGTGTGTGTGTGTGTGTGTGTGGTCACTATGGTGTGTATGTAAGTATATGTGTGAATATATACGTATGAGTATGTGTATGTACTATTGACGCAACGCAGTCCTACATCCGGGGTCTGTGATACCAAATGTGGACACCACTGATAAACCCTCACATGACCAGCGGGGAAGATAACACTCACAGCATAACCCTGACTGACTCACGTGTCGAAATAATATAACAATAAACACAAGGGTAATATCATTGATCATTACGTATCATATCATTCAGCTTGTTATTATATGGTGTAGCGAGTCTATATTTCTTTACGTTTTGTTCAGTTTGGTGATAATTTCATAAGATATCGTCTAGGAAAACAAATACATTTGTATTAATTTCTCAAAATACTGTGTACACAATTACCATTCTGACAACAATGTTTACGTAATAGGTAATAACCCTAAAAATGACGTCACAGCAGTATATAGACGATGTCCAGAGATCAACGGGATAAGTACTATCCACCTTATCGCCTCACCTGTCGTCCACCTTCATTAGTCAGTTACGTTCCGTTTTAATCGTCTAAAGTGATCATGGTGCCATACGACCAGACGAGACACTGAACCACACTAAACAAACACCTTTAACTCTCAAGAGCTTAAAATCATTAACAAAGTAATTTCATCTATCATACAGGTGACGTAAATACACCATTAGGAACAAGAACCAGGCATTAGCGGTGTTGGTGTAGGAGGTAATGAGTGGTTGACGCGCCACTAACCAAGAAACCATGATGTGAGTTGGCTGGATTAAAAACCTATTATCAGTGAGTGAGTGAGTGAGAGGCGGACGTACTGTAGATAGAAATGATATGACTAATGCGGGAAAATAATATACATTTGTCCGAATACTGTTAGTGGCCAGTCAGTATGATAATGATGATAATAATAATAATGATGATAATGATGATAATAATATATATCTTACTATAGCAGCACTAATATTACCTAAACTATAGGTTAAAAAAGACAAATATACATTGTTATTATCACGAGAGAGAGAGAGAGAGAGAGAGAGAGAGAGAGAGAGAGAGAGAGAGAGAATCAAGGCACAGCAGTAAGTTACAACACAAACTCGTACGGTACATTCACCCCAGCCATCACAACTCTATACCAACAGGTCAGCATAAACAGGTAAATTAAATAACAAGAACTTTATAACGCTTGTTCGTGAGACCTATAATTACTTTAGCTAATGAGGACGAGGTGTTTCCCTATACCTGTACCGTATTATGAACTCATGACATACTCACTCCCTCCTCTCTCTGTTATAGTGTTGTACCCCCCTCTCTCTCTCTTGTGCTAATATAGTAACTCTGATACACATCAATATATATATACACCAACAATCGTATCCACTATATCAGTATCGACATATTGATATTTGGGCCACGATAATATTGACTGGCTCGAGTTGATGTTGCGTGTGTTTGGTAAGTGTGTGTGTGTGTGTGTGTGTGTGTGTGTGTGTGTGTGTGTGCCCGACATACTGTAGGAGTCATAGTCCATGGCGACCCTCAGATATAATTGCATTTAAATTCATTCATGAACTTCTTCTCTCGACGCTATCTGATCTTAGTCTCCAGGTACAAGTTCATCTCAGTGTCTTTTAGTGAGAGAACTTCTGGCACACAACTATTAACAAACAAATCTTGACTTTCTCTCAGATTATTAATATTTCTCAATAAAAGTCAGAGTCACATTGTTTACATGACAGTTCAAGCTTTAGTCAATCAGTCCACAATTTCTACCCTAAATCTCTATTTCACTCGTTTCTAGATAACAAAATTTCATGCCAGTAGCTAGAAATAACATTTTTCACACCCGACCCGCAAAAAGCCTCCTTAATAACCAAACAATAACTAAAATCTTCTTTTTATCAAATAATCCCCAACCATAACCCTTTGGCTGCTGGAGGTTACTAAGATCAATAAAATCGTCTAAAAATGGCAAGTGCGGGAATTGCAGGGAAAGGGCTAATTATTATCATGTTCCTAAACTGAGAAACCCAAATCCCCAACACCACCTCTCATGTGTGTGTGTGTCAAACTTTACCCAACCAAAACCACGACCCGATATTTACCATCAAATTCTTGCTAATATACTGTTGGGTTGAGGAGCTGAAGAAAACATCCACCGGCGTATTCTCGTTTTCCGCCATGACAGCAGAAGGAAGAACGTCACAGGTATGGAGATTAACTTGAGTTTCACGTGTTATGGTGACTCATCTCCAAACAAAATATAAGGTTGTCTGACTCCTATCTCCCTGGAGTCGTATTTCTTGCCGTGGTGATCAACTGCTTATAGTCTGACTGACGGTCTTGATGTGGTGATGGGCTGTTGACGGTGTGGTGAGGTGGTACTGCGGTGAGGGTGTGGTAATGGGTGGTGGTATTGGGGAGGGTGTGGTAGTGGGTGGTGGTATTGGGGAGGGTGTGGTAGTGGGTGGTGGTACTGGTGAAGGTGTGGTAGTAGGTAGTAGTACTGGTGAAGGTCAAGTGTTCGGTAGTACTGGCAGCAGAGTATGTGTATCAGGGAGGAGAGCAATCCGTATACTACTGCGCTGACGGCCTTATCCCAGGAATCTACCGCCTGCTGGTTTATGATTGATTCTTATCGGTAACGTGTGATTTTTCCCAAACTTTATCCATGGGATCATTTATCGACCCACACCACAATCACCCCCCCCCCCGACCTCACCTCCCGCCCCTAGCCAACCACTCACCACCCTGCCTTAACCAATCCTTCACCTACCTGCCCCTAGCCAACCCCTCACCTACCTGCCCTAGCCAACCACTCACCACCCTGCCTTAACCAATCCTTCACCTACCTGCCCCTAGCCAACCCCTCACCTACCTGCCCTAGCCAACCACTCACCACCCTGCCCCTAGCCAACCCCTCACCACCCTGCTCTAGCCAACCCCTCACCTACCTGCTCTAGCCAACCCCTCACCACCCTGCCCTCGCCAACCACTCGCCTACCTGCCCTGGTTGGGATAGGTTTCAGACTTTTCGTTATTATAATAGCAGAATTGTAGACACCAGACTTTCAAGGTCATGATAAATAACAAAAAAGTCTAATATGTAGTCTTTCTTATTACAAATACGTCATATAATCTCAAAGAATTATCAGGAGGCCATTTCTGTTATAAAGATCTAGCTATAGTTCTTATTAATCTCCCGAGGCATCTTTCAGTTGTATCTCGCTCTTTGAGAAAATGTCTAAGTTCAGTTGAGCAATTATGAATAAAATTGTCCCTAATCATATACTAGGATAATGGACTTGACTTGTAATCCTCCTAAACGTCACCTAAAGTTGGGCATCTTTGAAAGTAATTTTCCATCCTAGTCATCACTCTCTTTAAAATCTTTGAACTCCACGTGAATTGAATAAGCGTGCTGCTTATTCAATTCACGTGTAGTTCTTAATTTCATCATAATTCTCAGAAATATCAGAGGGGAGATTAATATACGTTTGAATAGGTTTTCCATGTATAAGGGAACTTTACCTAATTTAAGTAAGCATAATCTTTCTTTTCCCAACCTTGTACAGGACCTCTGCTAACCTTTCGAATCTCAACAGATACAAGTCCATGTCCCACAGTGCTGCCGTTATGAAAATAGAAAAAAATATGTAGAAATCCGATGATGAAGAAGGAATATATGTAGCCTAGTGCTTTTTTTACAGTACTGTAGAAATACGGTTCTTACTTGATTTTATAGCTTTTTTTAATACAATATTTTTTATTTATAACTTAAACAAATTTGTATTTCCTTCGATTTACTTAACTGAAACTAATTATTACTATTTTTCTTGCACATTAAAAGCAAAGGCAACATACGAAAGATAGGAGAGTGGCTGACCTAAACTCAGCATACACTGTATGGTCCAACAGTGGCGCCATCTATCGAGGTTTCAGCAAAGTTTACAGACGCCAGATACTTCCGGATGTGTGTTGTTGGTAGATACTTCAATATATTTAATCATGTATTGTGCCCTGTACATCAAAATACATTTTGAGGTACATACAGTACATGTTGATATGTTTATCAGCTTTGTTCCATACCATGGACAAATAATTTTATAAATTTTATCATTATATTAATATTCAAATACCATACGTATTAGGCCACGTTTCGCTCCTTTCCTTATATTTCATATCAGACTTTATACATATTCTGGGGAATATCAACCACATGCATCTATATCTTTCTATTATATTGACACAGTTGCTTATGACACAAGGATAACATCCACCAGCCACACAAGTCAGACAACAAACCTCTTAAGTCCAACAAAATTTCAAACACAAGTCGATGGTGGGTGTTTCTTTCGTATCTTCCGTATATAATTTTTTATTATAATTAAATACTTATAACTCATGAATTATAAGTATTTAAAATTAGGGGCTTGATTATGGCTATGATTGATAAGAAACGAGTAACATGATTCCTGGATAATGGATAACATGTTGGTTTTACAGGATATACTGATACGCACATAATGCCAAATTCTATTAATACTTCAACGAAAGCTATAAGTCTAGTGAATCTATATGATAAAATATAAAATTCAATGTGGCTATAATTAAATTCAGTCCCACCAATTACTTAAACTGCTGCCGTCTCTTTAAAATATAGCATTTAAACTTTAAGATTTAATTATCACTAACCCCCTTAATATTGTGTAAACTGGAACGTTTAGTTATAAATTTCAATTGATGGGCTCACCTTTTCTCGGCCTCTGCTAACTCTAGTTTGTCTCATAATTTCATCTCGATCTTATTTCACATATTATTACTGCTCTTCATTTTGGACTAGCCTAGTGATATCCTCAGGTAAGAAATTAGACTCTCTCCCAGCTTAAATAACTCATAGTTACATATTGAAACCTGGGCACAAAAATCTTGAAAATAGCAAATATCTTGAGTACAATAAACTGCAGTAGGCTTCAGCTTCACGCCTCAACATAATAGGTTAGACGTTAGCGAACATGTAAACAATAAACAGACCGTCGCAGCCCTCCATTATTCTTGTTCTTTACATAATAAAAATTTTAAATTTGTCTTGCGCTGAAATACATGTGTATAAAATTTTAACTACTCCCGATAATAACTTTTCATTTCTGTTGTGCTTAAATATATACAGGAACCTTACCTTCATCCGAAATAAACCGCGTATGTTTGACAAGAAAAAATTACATGAGGTATGTGTACATATCTGAAAATAAAGCTTACATCTGCTGCACTGAAAGAAATACATGACCTATCCCTTCATAAGAAAAAATATACAGTACATTTTACAGAGAAAAAGTTATATACTGTACGTACATTGAAATACATATGTATTTGATGTGCATTTGAAAAACTTTGAACTGTTTGTACTAAAGAGAAAACAAGAACTTTAACTTCCTCTAAGATAAACTTCATTGATCATGTGGTAAACAGAAATAAATTCATATGTACTTCATCTGCAATGAAAAAAAATGCATTTTTACTGTATCTGAATACATGAACCTTACCTCCAACTGAAAAACAAACACTACAGTGTGAGACCTTTAAACCTAGGCATTATAATGTGACCTGTCCTAACCTAACCATTAAAGCTAACATTACTATAAGCCTTGATTTATCTCAATAACTGATGTTACCACCGCGAAGTTTCCGATACTGAAGGGTGAGCAGAGTTTGTAAGATGCAAGCTATAAAAAAATAAAATAAAGTCTGCTTCCGGGTAAAGCAAGGCTCATTATTCAAGGTTCATATCCACTTTTATACAGTTGTGGCTAAATTTAACTTCTATCTTAAATCTTATTTACTCAATGTTTATATCTAAGTAACTTAAATTTTGTCTGTGGAATTTTAGTAAATGTTTAACTTAAACAAATCATAAATTTGGGTGTGTTCATTTCAACTGCACCTTAGTATATAACTTATTCTAGCATAACTGATGATCTTTTCGGTTTGAACTAAAAATAAAAATAAAAACAAATCTGACGTAGTTTTACATTCTAATTTCGAAAATATCAATATTTTGTGGAGAAACTAGCAGAAAGTATTGAATATTATAAAAAAAACCCAATATTTGAGGCTCTGAATAGAGGTAAGAGACTAGCCTGTTAAACGTAACAAACGTGGAACAGAGGTTGTAAATCCAAGCTTCAGTCAGTATCACTTACTGTACTTTTAAAGTGATTCAGTCTAAAGTGGGTGAGAGATGAATTTGCAATGGCTTGGCAAAAAACCTACAGTCCCAAGAAGAGGTAGTACACTTTTATTTTCGAGCACACAAGCTTATTCCAGAAAACAGGATGTGCCGCAAGAAACACCAAATGAAGTTGACATTTTACCTGACCGAACAATAGGGAAAAAAACCCTGAAAGGAATCAGTATCCATTTGTAAAGGAACACGGTTAGAAGGATCAACACTCTTAATAACAACAATTAGGTTTATTGTTGGTCCCAGGAGCACACAAGCATCAAATTCTGCGAAGATGAACTTGTTTTAATAGATCTGTGGTCGACTATAACAATTTCTATGTATTTCAGGTATGTGCTGAGGCCATCCTGAAGAATCTAAGGAAAATTGATGAGAATGGTGGCCAAGGCTACACTGTTAAAATAATGAAGCATTAAAAAGTAAATGGATATATAACTGAGGAGAATGTGCAGGGAAACCAAGGATGTATTTGGGTATACGTTGTCCTAGAATGTTGCATCCAGTTGTCTTATCCTTCTGGGAACTACCACAAGAGTAACATGACTTATATGAGGAAAGCATATAGCAATATTGACTTATTTGAAGGTTATAAATATCTCCACCATAGTGTAAACAACAATGAAAATTTGTTAGACCCAATTATTGGTGCCCACACTCAACAGGTTGAGAGTAACAGGAGTTTTCTTAAAACACGTAACACACGCCACTGTTGGACCTATTCAAGATATTACACTCTGAATTCATTTGGCCGAGCAGAAACAAACATGAAGATCTGTTTAAGAAAATGCTACACGATATTGAATATTTTCTGGGTTAAAAAAAAAAAAAAATTAATAATATATATATATATATATATATATATATATATATATATATATATATATATATATATATATATATATATATATATATATATATATATATATATCCTAACTTTTCTATTTCATTGTTTTCGGTACTTTCTATTTTCTCCAAGAAAAAACATATTTGTTTAATCAGAACGTAAAACTACGCAAGAGTAATGATTTTATAAAACAGTTTTACATTTCATCTAACCGAAAAGACCCATAAGTTTAAAACACTCGAGGCTTAGTACTTACCAATGACGCCACTGTCTTCATTCCTTCCATCACGTCTGGCAGTTAGTTGCACAAGTTTAAACCTGCAAAACATGAACCCGTGACAAAAAGTGTATCGCTCT